GGTGTCCCCCGGGATGCGACACCCTCCCAGCACCCCCAGTGTCACCAGACTCCCCAGCCCAAAATACTCACTATTTTGCGTACGTGACTCAGCGCGCTTCCCTCTTTGCCTTTACAGTTTTCCACTTGATAAGGAGGGGCGATAACGACTTCTTCCATCACAACTATGTTCTTCTCCTGCCATTTACAGTCTTTAATGCTGCAGGGAAGGGAAAAAACCATCAGCGAATGCAACCGCCCAGGGCTCGGGGCTGTGCTCCCGCATCCCCCAGCCCCTCTGAAAGCCACCACCTGTCCCCAGCGCCATCTCGCTGCGCACCTCAGACCCACGTCTCGCTGAGGATGTAATGGGGGTGCAAAAGCCACCCAGCACCTCCCATGTAGCCAACCCGAGAGGGGTGCGAGCCCGCGGGGACGGCCACATGGCTGGCGAGTATGCCAGGAAGGGGCAGGGAGCCACCCTCTCCCTCCCACACCCACGCCTGAGGACTGCGTGGCTCTGGCTGGGCACGTCACGGGACACATCTGCGGCATTTCATGGTGAGCCTGAGGGACCAGGAAATGCAAACCCCGTCCCCGGGCTACGCAGGGATACGAGCAACTCCAAGGCAGCAGCGTAGGAGGCCGAGGCAGAGCGCAAGAGGGACCGGTGGCACCGACGACGTGACTTACGTCTTATGTATAGTCTGGAAGAGCTGCTGCCCCTCCAGAGAGACACCAGCACTAATTGCATACGCCTGGCTCATCTTCTCTTCCTTCTCCGTCCGTGCTTTGTTGGCAAGCTGGAGGGGAGACAAAGAGAGAGGGAGCTCGGCTGAGCATCGGCCACGAGAGCTCCAAGGGGACAGAAGTGACCCCGCAGACACAGCTCTGCCGCTCCCCGTCTGGCTCGCCAGTTAAATCAGGGTAACGACGAGCGTGCAATTTCCACACCTTTCTCCACACAAATTTCAGGCCACAGCTTAATTCTTTTTTGAGTCATCTCTACCACTGCCTGCGTCCCCCCTGGTATTTCAGGGATGCAGGAGTCATCTTTTTGCATCCCCTTGTTCAGTCACAGGGAGGAGTTCAGCTGCCAGGGGCCAGATACACAAGCATCACCTTCTCCTCTGCCTTTTCTGAATTAATTGCTGCATTTTAGGTCCAAACCACCTTCTACTGCCTGCTGTTTACTCAGGGGATGCAGATAGCAAAGACAAGCCCAGAATAACCGTTAGGTTAGGGCTTGTGGGGTGTAAATGCCTCTGTACAGACCACGCAGGAGTATGAGCAACTTTATCCCAGAGTAGTTATTCTGCTCCAAAAAAAAAAAAAAAGCAGAATCGGTTATTTGGGAGTCGCTCCGGCAGCTCACAATGTCCGTGTGCGGGGAAGTGCGATTACGCTGGCGGGGTCCCGGAGTAGAGAGGGGAAACCCCAACCCTGGCATCCCCCGTGTTAAATCCCACGGCCGCCGTGGGAGGAGAAGGAGCTGCACCTGCCTGGAGGCAGGAGACGGGCAGGCGGCGCTGGACCAGCCGCCTTTTCCCGGCTGGAGCTGCCCCAGTGGAAGAGCCACATTAGCATTGCCACCCACACCGGTCCTCCTCCTCTTCCTCCTCCTCCTCCCCAGAAAGGGCCTGGTGCCTGCAAGCGCTCCCCAAGCCAGATTGGCTTTCTCCGTACTGCGTGAGGACGGCTTCACCCTTTCTAAAGCCCTCTCTGGGTACGGAAAGCCCGAGCTCCCACTGAGCGGGGGCATTTTTTGTAGCAAATAATGCCAATAAGGGACAGGTTTCCCTGTCCCAGCCAGTCCATCTCCTGAAACGGCAGTCACCGGGCACACGCAGCCCGTTAACATCGCCTCTCCGTGCCTGGGTGAGCTGGGCTCGCTGCCGCAGCGTGCGGATGCTCACCGTGTGCTCCTCAGCTTCCTGGGGAGCAAGGGAAGCCTTAACAGGGGGACAGGATCCCTTCTCAGTCCCAGCACAAACTGTCTCTGAAACCACCTGCCCCACTCCATGTAGGAATTGCTCTCTCCACGACCACCAGGTCAGCCTTCCAAACTGGTTTGTAAGACTGGGCACAACATTCCCCGGTAACTTTCCAGCATCCAAGTCACCCATGCGATCACCAGCCTTCTTGGGGGCTGCACCGACACGTCACCCGGCCAGGGCTGCCCCCCAGGGCCAAAGTACCTGGTTCTCAACCGGCTCCGTCGCCTGCGCCAAAACAACCCCTCTGCCATGAGGCGGATGGGATGGAACCGTGGCACGGAGCACATGAACCTCCTCTACCGTGCCCACCACGGGCCCTCCCCCAGCAGATCTCCTCCTCACCGAGCAGCCCCTTCCTTGCAGCCAAGCTCACAACGCAGCCCTGAAGTTTCAATCCTCTTTGTCCATTTTTAAAACTCCTGCTTTGCCAGGCCTCAGGATGCTCCTCCAGCTCAAAGCAGCGGCTGCATCAGCTCTTCCTTCCCTGCCCACTCACACACAAGTCCCAGGAGAGACGTGCACGCCAGGACAGACAGGTCCAGCTTTGGCGACAGCCCTGCGAGGAACCAGGTAACAAGTGGCCACCAAGAGAAGACGAGGAAGCCATGGAGAAGGGTGGATGAAGAGCAGCCCCTCGCGTTCTGCCGCCACGAGCAGCATCCCGACATTACTTCAGCAGGTGCTTCTCAACCCCAGGTTTAACAGCATCCAGCAAAGCCCAAACTCGTCCTCCTGCTTCCAGCTGGAGCACAGCGGCCCTCACCTAGAGCCGACTCGCTCACCACGCCAGTCAGTTTATTAATCGAGTGCCAAGATCCAGGGTCCCTGCGCTCTCGTCTTGCCCCTGCAATAGGATGCGCTCTCCCTATTCATCACCACTACCCCTCGACAAGAAAGGAATTGGCCACACCGAGCCTCCAAGATCCAGCCTCCCCCATTCAAGTATTTAAAATAAGCCCCTTGTTCCCAGCGGGCCCCCCCAGCCCCGCACGGCTTCACACCCCCTGCTGCAGAGAGCACCCGAAGGCGCCAGGGCTGCTGAAGAGACTCGGATACACACCTTGTGCAACGGCGGCATGAATGAATGAGTCACTTCCCTATTCACATCCGTATGAATGATGAAAAATGCAGCACGTGGCAAGAAGAGCCGGTGAGGGCCACAGAGACCCGTGCCGTGGGGCCCCCCACCACCAGGATGGCCCCCTTGTGCCGCCCGGGTGCTGGCAGCCTGGTAAGAAGAGCCAGGCATGGCATACCCCAGGCTGTAAATCAAGGAGATCCCTCCAAAACCAGGGAGCTGACCTCTCCCCGGCACAGTTACAGATGGTGCTGCCATGCAGCTGAGCACACCGCCGACGTCCCCTGGCACGTGCCAGCCCCACGGGGTAGGCTGGTGTCCCCAGAGG